GTTGTGGTAAAAATGCAGGTAGCAGTGGAAAAATAACATAATTTGCTTATAAAGTTGTATTTATAGAGTATACAAATGAGCAAGCACACCTTGTTCCATACAGGATGGAAGTAGAGCATGGTATGACAGAAGAACCTGCAACATCAAGCACACTGTGTTCCTGTCTCATAACCTCTGCTGCAATATTGGCAATCGATATCAACAGAAATTTTCTACTTGAAGTCACCAATTTGTTGAAAAGTAAATATTTAACCCAAATGTGTTGCTGTTTAAGAATTTGTTTGGCAAAGAAAAATGGAGGGGATGGAAGTGGAAGTCTCTTGGTAGATATAATTTTCTCAATGGAAAAAAACCTTTCAAATAACGTATTCAATAAAATGCTGGATCAAAACAGGAGTAAGACTCTCCCCCCCCCCCCCCCCAATAAACAGCATGTTTGCCTTAAAATGCAGGTTTGAGAGTAAGATAGGGCTCTTTCACCCTATAATCCCCTGATTTTCCCCAAAAATTTCTGGAGGCAAATAAAGCATTCCAGAATGCAGAGAACGAGATAGGCTCTGATAATCCATAGGTACTGCCACAGAATTAGTACATAATAAGATAATTTGATTAAAGGTGTTCGTGAAGGTGTAATTTGATGTCCAGAATTTGTTCAGGTGTTGGTGGTGATGTCTGATCTGAGAGAGTGATGACAGCTGAAGCCATAAACTACATGTAGGTAGGAGAAACTAGATAAGTCTTCAGGGGGTGGAGAGAAGGGGTGTTTGGTGTGGAAGCATGTTAGTAGCGTGTTCTCTGCGTGATAGGGAGTGGAAGGAAAAGACTTTAAGGAGTAGCTGCACTGCTGAGGACAAGTTTGGGGCTCTGTTTGCTGAAGGTGTTGAATAAATCACTATGATCTCCAGTCCCATGGGAGGTAAGAATTGGGTGCTTGTCATCACATATATTATTGCTGCTGTGATGAACGTTTTCTTATTCACATCTCTTATTTGATCTTCTTTTTCTCAAGAGGTTAACATTTTTCCTCATGACCAGGATCCTCATCTAGAAAATGTTTCTGCTGTTTGTCTGGGAGGTTACTAAAGTGACTTGTGATGTAGGCTTTATCTTCTGTGGTGCAGAGAGAGATAAAAATATCAAAGATTTTTCAGGTTCTCTGATCTTTATTTAGCCTGCATTTGATAAACTTTTATTTCCCTTTGAAGAGTATTCTGCTTACATAAGAACTGAAGTGAGCAGTTCTAAAGAACAGTTATTTCTACAACAGATGTAAAGACCTAATGCCTTTCCTAGCCTGTTGGGCTGCATATTCAGTGCTGTGAAGTGATTACTTGATCAAGAATTCCGTTAAATTTGTGTGCTGATCTCTGTGCTTTCACGAGAGCAATTTGTCAATGCTTCAGCAAGTAGAATTTTAAAAGTGTAGATTAACGTTATAATACTGTTCCTCTGCAAAAGGATATGAATTTAACTGAATGTTAAGCAGACTTCTTTTTTTTTTTTTTTTCTTCCCCCTCTCACTTAATTGTAACTGAAAACCTATTATGTGGTCATTCCAAATAAAATTCAGGCATGTTGTATTTAATGTGAAAAAATATAATGTTTCTGCAACCTTGCTCTCAAACAAACCGCTCAGTTGTTTTGCCCACTCATTGGGTTTAGTATAGACAACTGCAATTTTTTTTTTTTTTTTTTTCACCAGAGAATTTAAAGAATTAATTCTGCATTATTCAAAACTTCTAATTCTTGTCTAGAAAGGCAAAAATCAAGTTATTCAGGCTTCAAGTGACTACCAACCAGTATGTTTCAAACTTCTGTCTCACTTTTCTCTAGACCACAATGGAGAAGACAGCCATGGAAACTTAGACCTGAATTTAACTCTGGCGACCAGAGCTTTGAGAATGTGGGCTATGTATTACCAAATCTTTATCATTTTGAGATCTGAGAGTCAGAAGGTACTAGGTTCTTTTTCCTATGTATTTGTCACTGCTTAATTCTTCAACTTAAACAACTAGTTCTATAACTGAGGTAATCACTGTGTATTGTTAACCCTATAAAAGAGACCAAGTGCTTCGCTGTTTGTATTTCTTTTGGTGTACTGCTCAGATATTTGCTTAGATATCTGCTGCCAGGGTAAAAGTGTCAAGAAATAACAGAGAACCTTTTCTTTAGCTTGTTGAGTCCATCTTCCTAAGGGCTCAAATGCAGAAGCTAAAACTGCAATGTTTCTTTGATTTTTTAATAGCTGGGGAGAACTTTACAAGCCAATAATCTTGAAAGGAGATTGAATAAAATATGCAGAAATGTTAGCTCAATTCTTTACAAGGCCAGGCTGTATTCTCTTTATGCCAGAAGGGAAAAATAAAGTAATGGCTATAAACTGGCACATCTAATTTCAGAAATACTGAAATATACAGTTAACTTAAGAACAAGCTATTAATATGCAGGCAGATGCGGTGTTGAGAGTGTAAGTAGAAATCTATAAATGAAATCTTCCCTGATGTTCATTGTGTTCTTACAAAGTACTCTCCATCTGGAAGATTCAGTATTTGTTAAACCCTTGTAAGCCAAACATCCTGTTGTTGTGCTGGAGATAAATGCATCTGTAAAGATCAGGAACTAACATTTATTTCCCAGCCTGCTTCATCAACAGCAAATTAAATGTAAATTTCCATTCTGGGTTGTGTACCTACTGCCTGAAAGTGAAAGAAATCCCAATGCCCCAAAAGGAATAGGGGTAACGTAGTGTAGGAATTTAGGAATTTCTTAAAGCTAAAAGTTAGTTTTGCTATTTCCTGACCACTGTGAGAATTACAGAAAATTGGAAAGTAAAGCTGATCCAGAAAGAAGTAGTGGAAATAGGTTTTGAATTCTGAATTGGGCTACCTTTTTATATTTTTGTGTTTGTGACTAGTACTGAAGAGCGGGGAGGAGATAGTAATCATATTCTCAGGTATAGGGTCCAAAACTAAGATGACAAATTTGAAGGTTTCTGAAGCCTTTGAAAGGTGTTTGATGAAGGACCTACCAACTTATCAGTGTTGTGCAGCTTAGTTTTGTGACAAATGTGCTGAGGAGCAAAGATGATGTAGTTTTTGACAGAGTGCTATAAACGTCAAAATGGTGAGAATCACCAGATTTTTGCCACAGACCTGGCTGAACAGGCATAAGAAAACACTGAAAAAGATGAGCTTTTTAATAACAAGGAAGACCTTTGTTCTTGAATGTGGGATGGCTTTTGCCTTCCTGTGACACCTGCAGGATTGGTCTTAAGAGTTGTTCTTGCCAGTCAGTACCAAATGCAGTGCTGGACAAGCTACGTTTTGTACAGGTAGATGCATCTTTTGGTTAATGAGGTTATGGCACAAAATTGTCTGGCTGGCAGCTAGTGTGCTCTGAAGTATGGGTTACCTGTGGAGAATTACCTTCCATCTTGGCAAAAATTGCCTGAGGTGGGAGTGTGGCCTTCCCTTGAGCCTCAGTACTGATGGAGTGAATATGGTTTGGTGTCCCTTCAGTACTGTGGCTTGGGGAACTTAATTTAGCCTCTTTGGAAGATTTGTTGCCAATCAAAGCAATAGGTGTTTTGGGAATTGGGAGTGGGTGGGAAGGAGGACAGTAGCAGTACCCTAAGGGCTGCCCTTGGAAAGAAGGGGTGAGCCTTGTGGTTCAGACAACAAGCAATGTATGTTCATTTTTACCATAGAAGTTGCACGCAGTGCTTTGACCTTCCTTGGCTGCTGTTATCGAACTTGTGTCCTCATGAAGCCACTAGAATTGATGTACATGGTGAATTTGACTGGCTTTCAGAGTTAATATGTAAAGGGAAGCTGATTTGGGGGGGGGCGGGGGGAGGGGGGGAGGGGGGGGGAAGAGCTCAATCTCCAGAAAATTGATACAAGCAAGAAAAGGAGTCTAAGTGTGCTTGCTTTTAAGTGTTAATGCAACATAGATGGCCTGAACTGAGGAAGAAATTTCTTCTTTATTTAAAGATACCAGGCACCTTTGAATAGACAGAGTAGATGTGTTGTGCCAAAGCTGAGAAGACCTTTCCAGATCGATATCTCCTTGCACCTACATCTTACAGAACGTGGATTTCAGAACATGGTGTCGGGACATCCCAGGTCTGTGAGGAGAGGGCAGTGGCTGGCAAGGCTGCCCCATGTTACACAGATTGACCAAACATAGCTGAGTGCTGGGCCTGCCTACCTCAAAGGTGACCTTGAGGTTTGTTGAAGATGCCTCTGGTAAGTTTAAGCAGACAAATTACTTCATGTGGTTGCTAGTATAATGACAGGCTTAGAACAAGAAAATGCGGGAGTGCACTTGAAATGAATGCTTTGCTCTGGGGAGAAAAGTGCTTTGAACAGTTGTATGAAGTGTAAATGACTTGGGGAATTGGAGGATCCATAGGTGACTTGGAGTGTGGTTTTCTGTTGGGATTTCTGTCAAACCTGTTAATTTTGTAATTCTTTTGACTCTTGCTGAAAGCAGCCTGAGAGGGAAATAGCAACAATTTTCCATGAAATGTGACATTCTGAAATATCAAGTTGTTAGTTGAAACACATGATTTGCATGAAAGGTATAATTCCTCTGCCACTTCTCTCATAAAATGTCATAGAAATTTAATTGCAAAAGTATTAGCAGCTAAGAGCTGGAATCAAAAATCTTGGGGTGCAGCAGAGGGGGAAGGACGATTCTTTCTGTAGGCCGTTTACACAATATATAGCACCTTCTGTCTGCAGGTCTGGTTTCTGTCATATGAGCCCTGCTAAAACAAAATCAGCTGTTTCTATTTGATCTCTGAACTTCATTAACTGTTTCCACCATGACGACTGTGGACGGTACTTTTAGCAGCATAAAGTGTCTGAGCTCTTAAGTGGTACAAAAAGACAGAAATGCAGCCAAGAGATGGAGCATGCTTTCTGAGATCTCTTCTGTGGAGGACATAGCTGGATCTGACAGGTTCTTTCTTGCAGGTGGTTCCTATCTATGTGTGTGCAAAAGACTTAATTTTTTTGTCTAGTTCTGTCTTAACTTTTTCATGAAATATAGTAAAAATTATTTGCTATAAGCTTATGTTTATTCATTATACCAGTTTCAGCAAGAATCAAATGTCTGAAAATTCTGAAGTACACAGTAACTGACCCAACTTTACCTACACCCTCTGAAGCTGCTGGTAGCCAAAGAGGATGTGTGTGGTTAATGCTTTGCTTGGGTATAGCTGTGTTGTTGGTTTGGTTAAAACTGTGTGGCAATACTGTGAGACAGGTAAAACTAGATGCTTCAGATTCTCAACTTGTGCTTTGCATCCAGGAAGACCCAATGTCTTGCTTAAGCACTGCTTGCAAGCTCTCTGTACTAAGTTGTGGGATGAGCCTCCAGCAGAACTCTTCAGTGGTTATAGTGATGATCAGTAGGATCTCAGAGGTAAGGAGTAACTGATGAGTGTAAATGTAAAGTGGACTGATGGCACTGTTGGAATTGGTACAACTATGAAGCTTATTGTACAGAGGTTTGATTCCATGGATTAAGGGAGAAGAGTGTCTAGAAATGCCCTAGACATTGCTTAAGGAGACCACCACTTAAAAGAAGGAAATACGATTTTTCTTCTGGAGTACTGATTAACATAGTATGGTGGTAGAGTACTAAACATCATTTAGCAGCCTTAATTTGCAATTTATAAAGCTTTTTGTTTTGACTTTTTGTGGGGTGGTGAGTACTTGTAAACGGAAAATCTTGTGCACATATAAGAAAATACAATCTGCCAATCATTGCTGTGTATGAGATTAAAATGCAACTGGTACTGTTGTGATTCTTAAATATCCTACCTTGTTCAGGCACACTCTTGCTGGACTGTCAATTTAAAAGAAGTTGCTGACACGACTTCTGTTCTGTGTTCTGACAAAAAAAAGTCTTATGATTGTTACACTGAACTGTAACTGAAGCTGTCTTGACTGCCTTGGCAGCAGTCCTGAGTGCTGCCTGTTCATTCCCAAGGGCAGGAGAACTTTTTTTATGCAGGCACAAAGCATTTAAAGAGCAGCTGTAATTCAGGAGATGGATGTCTTTTCTGTATAAACATCATTTGCTTCTCTGAAATGTTAATGGATAGCTTCAGGTTTTTCTTTTAAAATACCCATGGAACCTGGTGGTTTGACAACTGAAGGCAACTGTGGTTTAGCTTTAGTCTGGGGGATGCAGCTGAGCAAATGAAGATTAGCAAAGACACTAATTGTCCATCTTTGATGTTGGTGTGCTTGCGGCTGTCAGGTGATTGAGTGCAGCTGCTGTTGGAGAGCAGGGTGGGAGGAAGAGAGCAGATGGGTACCTTCACTACCTGGCTCATTCTTCCTTGTGTATAAGTGATCATAGAGCTGAGGAATGTTGTTCCTCCCTGATTTCCTCCTCACATATTTCCCTTCAAGACTCTCTCTTTCCACCTGATACCTCATAAAAACACATGCTGAAGTCACCATATTTTCCCCAAATAGAATTCTTACTGTTTTGGCTAGTTCTGTTTAAACAGTTGACACTGGTATGGGAAATAACACTTAATGAGAAGTCTTTCAACGAAAATAAACAGATCAGGTAAGGAAAGACTTCGTAAACTCTTCCTATTTTAAAACAATAACAACAAAAAATCTAGAGAAGTAATTGGTCAACAAATAGCAAACCATGGAATGGCAGTACTGGAAAATGGTTGCAAGCCAGTTTTAAAACTGTAATTTGCATTTGGGTAACAACAAGAAAGCTACTTCTACAAGTAGATAAAAAGGACAGGTGTGTAATCACTTCATAATGGAAAAATAAAGCTAGTTCATAGTGATTGGGTGAGGACTCTTATAGTCTCAAATTTAATGTTGTGAATAATTAAGGCTTAGAAGTTCAGCCAAACAATGAAATTTATTCAGGATTTAGGATATGTACAGGCATTATCCAAATGGATTGGTATCAACAGTATAGCTATAAGCCAAGTTTTTTTTGTCAATTTTTAATATATTTTAATATAAATACGGAATTAGCTGCTTCTGTTTTCCACTTAATAAGGGAATTCTGTCTATAAATGTATGCAGTCGAATCCTTTCTCTCCTTGCTCCAAAAGCACACACGATATTCTCGTTTTATTTCTTCAAGATCACAGCATATTGCTCAATACCAGTAAATATGCAAAACTTCAGGTGTCAGAAAGACACTGATTTTTGTATTGCATGTCCATGACAAGACAGCTGTGTTACAGGGTCTCACTGAGTATTTCACTAAACTTCTTGAAGAATTATGTCCTTAGCATTTTATGTGGTTCAATTTGCTCAGTCACTCTAATTTCTTGAGAAAATGATGCTCTGACTAATTCCTTTTGTTTTTCCTCGAGGTTTTACGAGTAATTTAACATCTTGTAAAGATTAATGCCTCAGAAATGTCATTTTGTTCCATGGTCAAATCCAATAACTGTTTTCATTTTGCAGCAAGAATAAATTAGTGAATTTTAATGTAGTAATCTGTCTTCCTAGATACAAATTTGTCTTTGAATACCTTCATTTTAAGCTGAAAGATTTTAACGGTAGTAAATATTACTGTTGAAGGAAAACAAATTCAATCATAATTTCACTGGCTACAGCGCTACATTAAACAAGTTACAAGAGGTAGTTGATTTGACTGTTCTGTTAACTCTGAAATATTTCAGTGCAGGCCTCAATGGACATGGAAACTGAATAGGTCTTGCCAGCCTGGCACTCTTGGAGCCTCTTAATTTTCAGATTATTTTTTAGCGCAAATTTTCATAATGCAATAATCTTTGCTTTTTTATTTTCAGAGAAGTCTAAGATACCGAGATGAGTAAAACTCATCCATGGACTGGCTCTAGCTATCTCAGGCAGAAATCATTCAAATGATATTCACAGTATTTAAATAATTGCGGTGGCTATTTTAGGCAATAACTTCAGATGCTCAGAAGTATTTTTGTCATTAATCCATGGAAAAAAAATGTAATTCTTAAATGCACATTAGTGTATAAAATGATGCTTGCCCCTTAAGACAATATTTTAAAAATATATATTATTGCTTCAATTAGTCCTGAACAATTTCTGAAAACCTTCAGTTTTTGTCATTTTAAAAGGATTAAAGCCTACCTAGAGAAGCAGATGTTGCCTAGGTAACTGCAGTATTCACAGCTCTGAATCTAAATATTTGACCTTGCTGTTGCCGCCCATTTATTTATATTTCTAATTGACTTTTTAAATTAGTGTTTATCTTTTTTTTTTTTTTTTTTTTTTTTAATGTTAAAGTTAGCCTGATCTCTCTGGCAATGTCCTCTTCTGTTCCCTTTACCTGGATCACTGTGTTTATGGATGTAACTTTGCATGACAGGAGTGCTAATGTGACTGGGTTTCAAAAACCAAATAAATAAAAATCTGCAAGACCCCTGGTGGGAGAAGTATAGGTATCATTACTTTAACTGCCTGGATATCCCATACTGATGTAAGCTTATATTACGCATGGCTTGCTGGGGTTTGTTAGTGAGGCAATTAAGCAAGTGCTTTTATAAACATTATTATTGAATACAATCTAGTTAAGCTTAGGAAGTGGAGATTGCATTGGTTACACTTCCTCTTGGGGTGAGGTTGCTGTGATCCATATCAGAAACCCCCTCTTGACTCTGCACATTAGTATTGTGTAAGAGCAAGTGCTATCTTGAGCACTAGTGCTATTGGCAACATAGCTGGAGGAAAAAAAACTCAGTTAAGTTCAAAGTGTCAACAATGTGCTGTACTGGGAGCTAGAAGCAGGCTGAGTGTCTGGGAATAGGCAGCAAAGATCTGAAACAGCAAGGCTGAAATGCCTCAAATGAGGCAAAACACTTAACACAGTTGCACGGGCTTAGTGGCCCACCTTGTTTCTCCTGGTTGCATCTCGTCTGGGTCTGCTGATCCTCTGCCACATAAAGAAAGCTGCTGTATGTGCATTGGCCTGTTGAAGAACAGGAACAGGAAGCAAGGGAAGCCCACCCAGCTAAAGAGGGCTGGGTGCTCCAGTTTGGTGCCTCTGCATAGGCACAATGCGTGGCTGGATATGGGAGGTGTGGGAAGAGCTCTGCTAGTGCTGCTGCTGAGGTTTTGTTTACTTAAACTATTTCAGCAGAACTCCTATCTCCTCAGTCTAAATCTTGTGTTTAGAGCAAGTAAATAAACATGCGTGGGGGGAGTTTCACTGGAAGTGAAAGTATATAGTAACAGCCTGCCATAAAGGGTGTATGTGTTTCTTTTAATACCAATCAAATGTTCAAGTTTTGTAATTTGAATATATAAGTCATCAGAAGCTGTTTTATTTGTGTTTGAAATATTTGTTTTTATAAGGCTTTTTTTCCTGGATATTGCTGATTAAAATGCACTAGTTCTTCTGTGTGATTCCTTTGATTACATCCTATAAATTGCTGATTTAGAACCCCTCACCTCTGCTTTGTCACTAGAGCTTCCATCACCTGTATTATACCCATGTATGTCATAGCTAATACAGAGGAAAAGATACATCTATCGTCGGCTGCGTGTATCTCTGTGGAGTATGAGATTTCAGTGGCTACAAAATGGTAGGTGATCCACCACTTGTGATTGATTCTTTCCTCCTGAAGCAGCACCATGCCTTTCTGCCAAAAGGCTAGGGCTGCTATCTTCTGAGGTGCTGTTGCTCTACAATGCCCCCTGAAAACATTCTTGTTAAATGCCTGTCATTTAAAACTAAAATCTCAAAACTGACAGATTACAGTTTTCATTACGTGTGTTTCTGGTCTGCAGAACAAGCAAGAAATTCAGTTTTCCCCTTCTACCCTCTTCATGCTAAGTAGCGTTATGTTCCCTGATAAATTTCATGTAAGTGATACTGCTGAACTATACTTCATTTAATAAAATGTAATGTATTACCAGCTTCTACTCAGTATATATTATCTCAATTAATGAAAAACCATAATTTGGAGTGTTCAATAATTGCTCAAATGCAAAAAATCTGGAAGTATGACTAAATGGTTACCAATTTTTCACAAGAATAGTTTAAAAAATTATATGTCTAATGTTAATCATCACTGAACTTGAACTGGATGTTATCTTGGAAGTTTTTTTTTTGTAAACTAAGTACAATTTTGATCTTATAATAAGTGAGGAAACAAGATCATTCATTTTTCCTCCATGCTGTAACTAGCTCCAGTCCTGTGTCCTCAGGGACTTCTGCTGCAGATTTCCTGTATGTCAGGAGAAAGTAATGAGGTGGTAAAAAGCAAGAAAAGTAAACGGTAGGGACTGTCCAACTAGGTAAAATCATAAACTCATGGCACCTAGCAGTGACCAGAGCTCGCTTCCTTTGCTGTCCCTCTCCCATGTATCATGTCCTGATACTTTTCAGGTATTCTTAAACCTGGGACCTCAGTATGCATAAGGAAGTGCTTTTTTGCCTGCCTGTTGCAAGCATGAGCTGTAGTCATACAAGCCTTTGGGCTCTAGAGATGTCATACTGGGGAACTCTTCAGAGATACTCATCTCTGCTTCTTAGGGAGGGTGCTCTGCATAACTGTATAATGTATTATGTTGCCTCATGTGCCAATTAAGTGACTTACTGCCACAACTGGATTTTAGCCCTGTTGAGTAAGTGTATCTTCCCTCGGCCAAGTAATATCTATTTATGATGTGATGGTTCAATTTTATCTTGGCTCAGAATTTCTATTGTCTTCTCCAGTTTATACCCAGTCTGTGCTGTATTGCACATTCTTCACAATGCTAGGTTTCATCGGTCTGAAATTAACTTTATGATCGATTGCTTCATGGTCATGAGAAATGATAGGAATGTTAGCAAAAGTGAGGAGAGAGTTATTTATTGGTATGTCTTGAGTCTTGTTGACATAAATAAAAGTTGGTTGAACACCAATTACTTTAAGCATAATAACCTTGTGTAAGAAAGGCAGAGACAGTGGGCAAAACAAGGTTCTGGGCATTGGAGATCTTGCTAGGAGCATCACAAATGCTTTTGTGCTCTCCTTGCAGCAAGTAATTATTTTGTTATACCATTCCCCAAGTTCTATCACAAGCCACTTGCCATTCCCACTACACAAATGGTGAGTTATTACTCCTTTATGTAAACTTCATGCCATTATGCTGTGAAACTTAAGTAGCAAATGAAGGAACTTGTACTATGGTGAGATGGAACCCTGAGGGCCTTGTCTTTTTTTTCCCTGTAATGACTTGTGCCTTTGTCATACAAAAACATTATTGCTGTTCACTTTGCTCTGCAAGACCCCCAAGCTGAAAAATTAACACTGCAAATATAGTTCTGACTCAAATGGTAGCCTGTGGTTTCGTGTCCTTTTTGAGAAGGCTGACAGGTTTGTGTGGTTCTTGCTGAGCTTTGTTTCAACTCTTCTGAGAAAGAAATGAACAGAAAAATCTAAAAATATCCTAGTTAAATCTCCAATCCCTCAGAGTAATTCTGTCCACTGCAATGCTCCCCTCGATGTTCTCTCTCCCATGCTGCTAGTGCACCTCTAAGACTGTTGTGATACGGTACTGTTAACACCAGAATGTGATACTCAGCATGCAGAAATTTCTGTTTTGCCCCTTTGTCAATATTTTTCATTCTTAACCTTAGCAGAAATTTTCACCTCCTCTGCTCCATTTCTGTGTAGGAGATAATAGCGTGAAGAGCCAACTTGCATAATGAATACCCTCATATGTGAATGTTACTGCTTTTTAGCTTATTCTAAAGTACTTTCTAAAGGAGCTCTGATTTGAGTCATTAAAAACACCACAACAGAAAAACTTCCATGTTTGTACATATCTGTAACGACATTAAAAATAAGTTGTTGTCTGGTATCTATTTTTAAAAGTTATAAAGTATCAGCTGCAGAGAGACCTTCTAAGGAGTTTGTCATATTGCTGTTGCAGACTCCTTTTCTCTTTAGCTCCCTCCTACAGATTTCATTATTTTAAATCTCAAATCCTTGCAATCAGTGTTAACTCTTTGATATGACTCTCACTTCATGGGAGAAAAACAGACTACAGGCAGTATAGAAAACTGGAAACTGACTGCAAAATGACTCAGTGGAAGAATACTATTGATGATGAGTAAAGTCCTAGTGCCAAAACTTGCATACCTAAGTAGTCACTCTGAGATAATAGGAAGCTATTATGAATTTCTCTTTCTGGTGTAGACAGATCCAGAGCCAGCTGGCTCTGTCTGGTTGAATTGTGATGTAAACAGATATGAGCCAGTGTTTTAAAAATAAGAAAAACCTTTCTGGTGCAGTGGTCAGACTTCTGGCTCCCTAAATATATGTATATTTAATACAAAATGTCCAAATTGGCTAGCTTTTGCTTTTTAACGCTTTCCACAGTGTTCCTCATCTTACTGGAATTGTCTGTGATTAAAAGTGCAGTGGAGTAGCTGTGTTTATGTGGGGTGTAATAAAGCTGGCTATGAAACTTGTCTGTAATTTGAGTTGCAGTTGTGAAGACCTGCGTAAT